TCCTGAAAATTACTTCACGGTGGTGAAAATCCCTGGGGATGAATTTAGGCTAACACATGCTTGCCTGACTCACTGGATATCGAACATTTCGAAGAATGTCCGGAGGCGGTCTTGTAAAGATTTCGACATTTGTAAAGGTATTGCTCGCGAATCCTTTTTTTCCTTTCTTGGATAAATTTTTGAAGATTTGAAACTTTGCTTGTTCTTTTTCCCCCTTGCTTGAATATTTTTTTATCCACGGATTCGATATTGTAAATCGTCATTTAACAATAACACTATTCTTTGAAGACAATTAAAATTAGATGAGGAATAGAAGTGAATAAAGAAAAAATTGATAATATCAACTTTCTTAACTTTTTATACAATTTTTTTAATGAAAGAGTAATAACAATAATTTCTTTTTCTTTTTATCTTTCTCATAGAATCAAATCGACTATTGAAAACCTTTTAACAACGGTCAACGAAGAAAGATTTTTCGCATGAAAACTTTTCGCATAAAGTTCCATCCAAAGCAGATTCGAACAGACGTGGAAATGACTTGGGAAAAGTTTGCAGACACGGGGGTAAATCCATGGAAAAGGTGAGAAGCGAGAAAATAATATGGAAACCGTCTTCAGTGGTCAAAGCTGGCCGACACAATGCGGTCCATGTAGGATATCCATAAGGGAAGGTAGCTATCCTTATTTAAATGCCGTCTCTTTTCGCTCTCTTATTTTTCATATTCGCGCTTTCACCTGGCCCATCGAGCCAGGTACCTTGGTCTATTGAATAAATCTCATGGAATATGTAAAAATTGTCTGGTAGCTGCAGACAAGGACGTGAGAGGGGGACGTAGCTTCCGGCTTGTTATCCATCCAAGGGAAAATTTTATAAAAATTGTGAGAACTTCCTGTTGAAACGTTTGCTTTGTCATTTTATTAACCGAGAATTTATTTCTGGAGTTCAGCCTTTTATTTAGGAAGGAAACGATTCTTTCTTCGAAAGAGTTTTTCAATTTTTACTAGAAGTAGTGATTTTAAATTTTGAATAAATTCTTTAATTTCATTTTATGAAATAATAAAAATTATATTGTTTTTAAAGGAATTTTGAGAAGAAATTTGGGAAGAAGTTTGAAAGAAACTAATGGAAAGGAACTAATCGATCGATCAATCTTTACGAAAACGTAGCAAACTACAAACGAGATAGTTTTTTTTCAAAGACAGCGTCGTTTCGAGGAAGTTTCGAAACTACTTCGCGTTCTTTCTTTTCCGCCCTTTCAAAGTATAGATCCCACGTGTCTTCTCTCTAATCTCGCTGGGAAAGAAGCCCCATAAAAATGCCCAGGATTCCTGACCAACCCTCGTTTCTGACCAAACCGAGACCGACCAATCTCCTCGATATCTTTCACGTGTTCTCTGGTGAATTATGCAAGTAGTCATGTACGTTCAAACTATATATTAGATCAAATTTCTTTACAGATTTCCTGTATAGAATACGATACAAATATTAAGAAGATTTTGAAGGAATATTATAATTTGAATTTAACAATAACAATATTTTAAAAATTTAGATTATGCAAAAGTCAATCATGTTATATTTTTCTTCGTTTATTTATTTGAAAATTTCTTATTTAACATTCGAATATTCTTTCTTGCGTAGTATCTAACTTACTGAACAAAAATTATAAGTAATCATACATTTATAATTTTTATCTGCATTCTTCGATTCTAGTATATTGTAATATCCATTCAGTTTCATTTGTTTTATCCACTTCCTTTACTTTTCCATTAATTCTTTTTATCCTTACAAATTTTTAAATTTTAATTTCAACCATTTATTTCCTTTCAAAAATTGCACGATCCGATTGATTGATTGATGCACGATCGCTTTCCACTTCCAATTCCAAAAGTAAGAAACGAGAAACAATTGCAAAATACGGAAAAGTATCATCGAATTTGTATCATTTTTCGTAGATAGGTGTCTCTAAGATGCCGTACATTTGAGACGTTCTTATGGATTATGTGTCTGGATGCATCAGTTTGGAGCTGTCCAAGTGTATTTGCACGTCCGCATACGTATTGGCCTGATATACACTCCTATGAATATACCGCGTTAGGACTCCTTTGGGAATGTTTCGACCCCACCAACTATTGCCAAGGATCCCCCTGTCTCGGCTCACCTTCGATACGATCGGTGAATTCCTTTCGAAACTTGATGGGATACGAGTGTATCGATCTTTCAGAATGTCTAACGTAATACATCTCGTGGTATGCGTTATGTTTTACAATTATTTGTAAGAAAAAGAAAAAAAAGAAGTATCGAGTCACGTTCTTTTTCAAATAATTTCAAAATACAGTCAAATTATAGTATATATATATATCAATTTCAAATTAAATTATTGAGATAAAGGAATGCACTATCATTTCAGATATGAATTCATAGATATTTCGATTTTTTTTTCCAAAATGTACGAGATTGGATATTCAGAGCATCGTATCCGGTGAAGATAAACGATCCTTCTAATTTTTATTGTCTCCTTGCAATTAATCCCTCGCTAAATTCCTCTTTGGAGGAGTCCATCCCTCAGATACATCTCCTCCTCCTCCTCCTCCTCTTCCTCCAAGGAGGAAAATTTAGCATTTCATTTGAAACTTCGATCGGATTCATTTATTTCCAGCGAAACAACTCGCCCATCTCCTCCCTTGTCCATTAATCTCCCTCGACACCTAGGCCAAACAACGATTAATTATCCGGTTCGAACGATTATCAAAATCGG